ATCACCTGTAAAATGAGGATATCTGACCAGGAGACTCCCATGGTTCCCTTTTCATCTAGTTTTACATTTCCTGGGTCAAGAGGTCACACCAGCTATCAATGACTCCTATACCTCCTCAGTCTTGCTACTTAATAAGCACAACTCTCAGTGATGGTGTGCAGAATACATGATCAATACTGCACTAGTTGGAAGGTCTTCAAGGCTATGATCTTAGAAACTGGCTTCTGGAATGTGTTGGCAGAAGCAAGAGTGCTCACATGTCATGGCAAAGAGCAAAATACAGAATGGCAATGTCCAAGCAGAAGTCTGCCTTGAAAGACATGGGGCTGCAACACTTGGCTCCATCCTGTGCTCTAAAGAGAGAGGTTATACAGAGTATGGCCAGTCGTTAACCCCTGACGCTCAGGCTGGGGCTTTCTTTGTTGTCCCCAAGTGTATCAAGCTCACTAACAGGCCAGGAGCTGCAGTCAATTAGCTTGTATTCACATTGCTAGTCTGCCCTCTCAAACCCAAGTTATAGTATCACTCCCTCCTTTTAAAGTTTGTGATGCTCCATGTTGTAGTTTTTTTCTCTATTGCTGGGATAAATACCTTTATCAAAAGTAACTGGGAAAATAATGGTGTTCTGTTTGTTTATTTGTTCGTTTAGCTTATACCTCCACCTCACAGTTTTTCAAAGGGCGAAGTCAGGGCGGGACCTACAGCAGGAACTCAAGGAAAGGCCACAGAGGAACACTGCTTATGCTTTTCTCCCAATGGCTGTTCAGACTGCTTTTTTACACAATGCAGCACCTCCTGATCAGGTGTGGCACTATCCACAGCAAGCTGGACCTCTCACATCAATCACGAATCGAGAGAACCCACATACACTGGTCTTGAGTCAATTCAATACAGACATTTTCTCAACTGAAGTTCCTTCTTCCCAGATGACCCGGACTTAAGCCACGGTGACAAAAAATTTCTAAGATAGTCTAACTTGGATAGATTATAACTTATAAGTTAGGTTCTATTTGTGAATGGCAGTAGTACCAGGGAGTAGATGGAGCCTGCAAAATAAATTATGCTGATGGCATCCATCATATATATAAAGTATTTCTCTGTCAGGCTGTGCTCTAAACACTACCACCACTCCCTCCTCTAACATTCACAACAATCTGTGAAGTATGTCCTGCTGTGACCTCTGAGAAATGATAGCACAGAGTTTTGGAATTTCTAAAAGGCCACATGGTAAGAAACAAGAACTATAATTAGAACGTTTGCTTCCAGAGCCTGAAATCTCAATAACGACACTATTGTGCGGGACCTCTGGTGACATTCTGTCGTCAGCATTGAGCCTTCCTTTGTGACAGATGCTGCTTAAGTCCCAACTGAATGAGGACAGGACCCCCAAGCTAACATATGGCACACAAGATGGGCACTTCAGCACAAGGTGATCAAAGTGAGGGCAGTACCCCGAGAAGATAATCCACCACCTGTGCCAATGGAGTGAAGCTGAACTTTGCCCATAGCCAACTCTAAGCAAAAAATGCTACATCATACCTCAGGTGGCAAAGGAAATTGTGACACCAGAGAGCAAACAAAGATTGAGGCGCCAGCTCCAAAGATCCAGAATGTTACTGAAGAGCCATATCACAAAAGAGCTAGGGATAGTGGGTGCTATTTGGTGGACTTTGAGGTTAAACACCCCTTTTGGGCTCACTAGCTACAGTATCTTTCACTGAGTCACTTAACTACTCTAAAGCAGGGGTTCTTTTTTATTACAAAGGATTGTGGGTTCTTTTTTATTGCAAAATATTAAAACTGTTTCATTTATATAATTGTTTTGGAAATCAAATGAAAAAAATGTAAGTGTTATGTGCAGTGCCTAGCACAGAGTAGACCCTAGAAACATCAGTTTCCTTTCATAGCACAGTGTGCTTAAGAGAAAGAGTCTGATTTCTAGGTCTACTAATATTGGGAAAGCATGTATTTTCCAAAGCAGAGGACACTGAGAATTGGAGTCAGACTCTCTTGACCAGTCATGGGCACTCGGGTATTCTACCACAATCAGAGGAAATCAAGACTATTTATCTTTGGATTTATTCTTAAACAGGGACACCCATTTGTAAGTTCAGGTTGTCATAGAAACAGCTCTTTCACAGGCCTCGCATCTTTAGGTTGAGCAGAATGCAACCCTGACACCAAATCAAACATCAACAGTGTTCAATGCTAGATAAATTACTATGTCCTCAGAAATGAAATGAGCCTCTTAGTTTCATGTATTTTGGGGTTTTGATTATAATGTAAAATTTCCCAAACCCCCAATTTTTGAACAATTCAAGCATATAAGACAAGCATTCTTTGACTGATAATGTTTAAAAGCCCTTCATAAAATGATGCAGCCACCTCATTGATTTCCGCTGTTCTCTCGTCTCCTAATCTCCAGTAGAACATTGATTAACAGCTCATTCTATTTTTGCAAGATCTTCATTGTCAGTAAATTATTATTTGTGCCATAGAATTATAATTCTAAGGGAATATTTTTATGCTGTGACGGATGGATAAAATATACTTTTAACTTGCACGGCAAGACCAATTTTCCAATACTTGAGTTCAATTTGCTCAAATGCATTACTGTTATAAGGCACCAATTATGACTAATAGTGGCCCCATTCTCACTAGAGTAAGTACTTGCTGTGGTAAAGCATTAAGGACTTGCAACTTGGCACTCAATTTAGTTAACTACAGGAAATAGTTGATTTCATATAGATTATTACCTCAGTGTCTCACTGCTTCCCAAGCTCACGTGTGCACGGGGAAAGTGGTGTTCTCTATATAGTTATATTTAATTCTATGACTCCTTGCTACATGAAGCATACTCTACAAATCATATTTGCTTTATATTGGAGTTATCCAAGTTTGAGCTCTTATTTTCCATCCCAACCCCTAAAATCTTCACTTTCAGAGCTAGCTGGGTGCCAGACCAGATAAAAATCACAAAAATGGGGGACTAGAGCGTCTTGCCTCCAGCAGCACAGGAGGGAGGGGCGTCCTCAGCTAAGGACTTCTCCACTGGAGAAGTCACAAATGCCATGACGCTTTCAGAGCCCAACCATCCAGCCCTCTCACTGGCCACACACACAAATTCTTCCAGATGATCTTTTTGCCCCTCTACCCGGACACACCAACACATAGGCAAGGTTTATAAGTTCTACCCTTTAAATGTCTTCGAGTTATTGCTCTCCATGCTATGCCAAAGCGCTTGTCGTCTCATGTTTAATACTGCAGTGTAAAATCGGTTTCGGTCTACACATTTTTGCAAGTTAAATTTAAGAACACTATGAAATATGCAAGTCAACAAAGGTCAATTGTAATCACCTGAACTTCAAAGCAAAACAAACAGGGTAAAGGCCACCTCTCACACATAAATTGCTAGAAACTTGCTCTATTCCATCCCACCCTCCCGTGCACTAGACATAATCTGGTTGTGCCCTTCTCTTTACTCAGACATTTCCCTTAACCTTGCATGTTCATAAAGTACACCAAAGTCCAAGCTGTATGCATTGAGTGGCATCTGCAAACAGATCATCATGAGTTTAAATGCTCTAAAACAGAAGACCTGGCACTCACAGCAGCCACAGGAAATTGACCAGTGCTGCATTCCAGAGTTGAATACAGGAGGCTATTCTGTATTCTATAAAGTAACTGAAACATTTTCCTTCAAGACAGAGTAAGGAGCATTAGAGCAACTTCTGATTACATATTTCTGAAATTAATCTATGAGTTTTGAAGAATGATCCATTCTTAAGCCTGCAGGAGCATCTCTAGCCTTGGTTTTAGACACCACATTTAATCCAAGGTCCAATGAGCACCGCTATGAGTGATAGACAAAGGCACACAGAGAATGTATGCATAAAAATCTAACACATGCAAGTACTTGTCCTCTGGAGAGGTAAATATAACACGAGATGCACAAAAGCAGCCACAAAGCATCAAGGTGTGTCATTTCCAGATAGGAGAGATGGGGCGGGGAGACCAACCAGCAGATGCTGCCCAAGCAAGCCAAGCACAAAAAAATAAATTTAACGATTCAAAAATACCATAAATATCAATGTTCACATTTGGGAATTTCCCAGGAAAATCTCACTACTTCACTTTGTTATGACTTCATTTCTTTATCAATAAGGAGTTGTTTAATTGCCTGTTCATTAACTTTTGACATCAGAACAAGAAAATGTATTCCCAGGGCAGATTAGCATCTGTGACCTTCCCATTAGTAAGTTAATTATATCGATTCTACAGACTCAAATCACTAAATTAAAAAGACCTCAGAATACACACATGTTATTTTGTGACAGTCTTCTTTTCACTTGAGTTCCATCAAGTCAGTGCCTGATCTATATAATAACCTGAACACCAGAAAAAGGGGTTCTATCAAAACACATATATGTCTTTAAATGAACAATAAGACAAAGCAAGGAAACAGAGCTGGTTTCCTCTCATATCCATCTAACACATGCGGTAGCAGAAAATATATCCTTCCCTAAACTAGAGATTTTCAGTGAACCACAGTGACAGACAGACAGGTATAATTTGCCTGCTTTCATTCTGAGATGGTTCTTGAAGTTCTGCTGTACTTATACAATTCAATTCTTCCCTGAGGAAAGGATTCATCATTGCTATTAAAATTGGTGAAAACAAATACTTTCATTTTATCTTCCATTTCCTTCTGAATTATTTCCTTAAGTGGCCGAAGACTATAGGAAGCAGAAACATTATCATGACGGAGGGAAGGCAGACAAGATATCTTAAGCGACAGAAATGCCTCTAAATTTGGAATCTCAGCTTGGAGACGGACAGAGGCTAGACAGATGTTGGTGTTCACACTCAATCTGACCAGACATTCACTTGAACTCAAATGCCAGGTCACAGAACACCACCTTCCCACATTCCTTTGCTGTCTTGCTCCACGCTTCCCTTTCCTTCAGTGAGAGCTAATATGTTTATACAGTTTTACTTACAATTGTGAAGTTCATGACTTTGAGAATCCAGATAGTCATGGCCAAGTTCACCAGGATTAATATCATGAGGAGCAGGACAAAGAAATACAGGCATCTTTTCCTCCAGCCGTAAATCCCCACTTTGTATATGTGTGGCCCCTCTGAGCTGGGCATGGTGCTCCTGTGGTGTGGGTACTGTTCCTGAGGCATCTGAAACAAACCAGGCACAGAGAAGCAGTCGTATCAAACGCTGAGAGAAGAAAAAGTGAGGGAGTGAACTGATAAAGAGATATGGTTGGCTGCTGGCTGTACATTCCCACCTTTCCGACAACTCTATAAGTCTGTTTTCTCTGGACAGAATTGGCTCTCCCAGGTGCTCAATTCAGTCCCCTTATTGGATGCAACTTTCTTCCTTGGTATGTGTATAAGACACCCACACATGTCTTTGAAGGAAAGGATGGAAGCCATTTTCTAAAGAACTCTTAGAATCCCAACTGTGTTTTAAAGGAGATATTCAGAGGACCACCGAAGTCTTGGGGTACAATGTAGAATTAGTCTGAGCAAATAAATTAACCCCAACACTGCATTGGTACACCATAAAAATGACTATTAAGACAATTTCCTTTGAGTTAAAAACAAAGCATCTCAAATGCAAAAATTTTGCCTGCAGTAGCTGACGCTTAGACCTTTTCTAAGTGTTTTGGTCTTGTGGGCACAATGTCAGATGACTACTAAACCTTCACGGAGAATAGGAACTACACCTTTCTCTACTGTGTGCTAATTTCCACTGCACTTGAATTGCCAGCCAAGGGCTAAGTCTGTGCTGTAAGATGATCTCGGGTCAATCACTCAACTCCCACTGACTCTCCTATAGATCACAGATGTATCAGAGGGGATGGCACCACAGCAGCGTCATCACTCACTGGTATTTTTATGCACAAAGATCAATCAGAAGTAGAAAGAATGACCCGGGAGCCTGCAGAAAATGAGACTTTATTTTCCATTTAATCATTCTGTGAAGTAAGGAAACATTCACAGAGTCCTACAGTTATACCTGTAAGGTCCCTTGATTAATTAGGGCTGCTAATTTTCTAAAAGGCCCGAGTGAGGATTAGAGAAGTTAACCCTCTGAAGTCAACTAAAGACTTCTGGTACAGCAAGAAGATGAGTGACCTAAGAATCATGGCATAGGGATCTTGCAGTTCTGGCGAGTGGGGCACTCTGGAGGTAAGTGCAGAGAAACTACTGACCCTGCCATCTCACTTCGGCTGTTTCTCTGTGAGCCGTCACAGCCCAGAGTATCACTACTTATTTAGGTATGAAACGATTACTTGTTGGAAAGATATGATCAATAAACATAAGAGGGTAAAGATATGGTGATCAAGATTTTTTTTAATACACAGTTATAAGTTGACAGAATACAGTGGTTACTTTAAAGAGGAACTTCTAGTTTGGGGCATATATAACAGAGTTAGCTCTATCATTTCTAAAGTCATCTACAGTCTATTTAATTAATAACAATAACAGATTTTAGACCCAGCAACACCATAGCCTACCCTACTACCCTATAGATAGAGAAGCCTGGAGGCTATTTGTCTGGAATATCCTCACTTGACCTCAGCTAAGCATCCATATCCAAAAGGAATGTAATGAGTACAGTTATTGGTCTCCAATGTTAGAATCTGGGGCTCAGGGAGACCACTGTAAAATAACCAGCCCAGGGGATTCTAACCGTTTGAAAGTATCTGAAACCATAGCTTACTCTTTAAAACTTCTTTTTATAGTATGACTATGTTCAGATAAAATCTCATAACTATGATGTCAAATATCAAGAAAGGAGAGCTCCTTGGAATATCTTCAAAAAACCCGTTGGGTCCCGGGAAGTAGTGATTTTTGTCCAACACCATTATTGACTGACCAGGGATTTCAAAGCTCTGTCAAACCACAAGGTTAGAATTCAGATCTCGTGCTACATGGCTTAATGGCCTTCTCTGATTGGCATGGGCCTTTTATTCCCACTATTCTCCTAACGCTTTAATTTCCAACTCTGTAAAATTAAACAAGAGCAAGACAGGCAGGGAGGAGCTTCCTGGGTGAGGTTATAGTGGAAGGCATTACCAGGCAAACACAAGTATTACTGTAACTCATAAGAGTAATCCCCTACCAGGTGAGGAACGCACATAGGCTGAAGATGTTATTTTTTCTCATCAATAGTTCAAATATATTGAATTGCTAAAAACAAATAGGGAAAACAATTTTGAATCTGTCTTTATTCTTGTTCTTCCTTAGAAAAATAACTACTGTCCAATAAATGAAGTTGAAGGTTTGAGTCCTCACTGGGACAGTGAGGTAACTTTGAACAACCTTTGAAGAAGCCCCAGTACTGTGAGACCAGCAGTCAAATATTCCTATGGAGCTGATCATAAAGGATGCTGTCAGCAGAATTAATTAAACTCTTCCTTCCTCTACTCTGGTTTCCATTCACATTAGAGCTTTGGAGGACTTATAGATACCTTGGAGATTCAATTAAGAGGGAACTGAACTAACCGTTCATGCAGTTGGGATGGTAGAGGATATATTTACATGATTTTCGGCATCAATACAGGTACATCATTAATGGTTCTCTTGCTGTTGGTGTGTGTTTGGGGGATAATTTTTTCAACCCATGGCATCAACTCACTGAACGTGGGGTCACAGCCAAAATACATACACACTCACTCACACACACACACACACACACACACACACACTTATATATATGGAGAGTAAAGAAGAGGAACGCCAGAAGTAACAGGAAATTTTCACATGAGTAAAAATTTAAATCTATAGCTCAATTTCCTGAACACCTAGTCAAATCAAAAATTCTGTGCTCTCGTGAAACATCTAGTCAAAACAAAAATTCTCTACTCTCATGAAAATAGTCAATTCACAACATATAATTACAAACACTCTTTTTCCTTCTTAAAGAAATTATAGTAAATAGAATTAATCAAAATACTGTGTCTACAAGTTATATACAACACATATTCTCATATAGAATTATAAAATTTAAAAACACAACTATTAATAATTAAAATTGCCCATCAAAACTGCAATGGGAGATAATTATCCGCCTACTATCTGTAAACAAAATTACAGTAGTAAACAGTTGTCAAATAAAAAGGCAATTGAAAACTGTGTGACAGGAAGTTTTGATGTAGTAGAGTTGATTATTAATAATTTTATTCTAGTTTTTACCATATCACCTTTTAAAAACTAATTATTTTCTTTTCTCATTATAATTACCTAATAATGTCTTTACACAAGTTTGTTCTAAGTTTAAAGGATTTTTTTTCTTTAAAAAGTCACTAAAATATTTATTTAACTTCTACATTCACTATAGGGTCTTTCCACAGCCTCATTCCTATAAGGCACCTGACACATAGCAGGGGCCAGGGTAGCACCACGGACGATGGTGTGCCACGAACCCAGAGGAGAGACAATATAAATGTCCACACATGGAGTTCCTATGCTTGAGGAAACCTAAGAAATCACCCTGAGAACCATGTTAAAGATAGACTATTCGGCCTCATACCTAGATATTTTAATTCAGGAATTCTAGGGTGTCGCATGAAACCATATTTTTAGAAAGTCTCAAACTGATTGTGTCACTGATTGGCTCATGCCCTGAAACATAACAGAGGCTGGACATAGAACCATAACCCAGGCCTCCTGTTGTCCCTACTGCTTCTCTCTGGGTCAACATCTTCCTGTCTTCACTTTTTCAATCCTATATGATTTTGAGGCACTTTGTCCTTGAAGCTTTGTTTTCTAGCACCCTACTGCAGAATTTTATTTAGTTTTGAAATGTAATTTGAGGCGAGGGTGGCTATTTTATTGCCATCTCAAATTAATTAGCTGTTAAAGCAACAGATAGCTTCATAGAAACTTTACTGGTGCCTAACTACTCACCAGATCATCTCCTATACAATTTGCATACACAAATAAAAAATAAATAAAATATTTATTTATAAATAAAATAAAAACCTAGCAGGATAGCCATTGTTATTAGGAGTTATTATTTAGCAGATAGAATAGAAACAAGCAATAGAGCTAATAGAACCAAGGGATAGAGTCTGAACAGCCGTAATTTAATCCTAAGGTCTTCATAGTTTTTTGCGTTTCCTATTTGTTTTCCTAATCTCATTAACATCCAGGGATTTTGTATTTTGGTTTGTTGTGACAATTTCATCTACTGAAATAGTCTATTAGAGACATCCATCTTCAAATTACACTGAACTTTCCTTATTGCTCATTTTCCTTGGACCTTGAAGTTTTAAGCTGTGCCAGTTTCCCTTCCTGCCTGGCCTGCCAGTCTTCCTTCCTTCCTTCCTTCCTTCCTTCCTTCCTTCCTTCCTTCCTTCCTTCCTTCCTTCCTTCCTTCCTTCCTTCTTTCCTTCCTTCCTCCCTCCCTCCCTCCCTCCCTCCCTCCTTTCCTTTGCTTTCCTTTGCTTTCCTTCCTTCCTTCCTTTCCTTCCTTCTTTTTTCATCCTTTGCATTCGTGAGATTGTGAGCTCAGAATTTACTGTCTTCATCTCTGATTACTGTCTTTCCTAGATCTTTTCTCTGCTTTTTTTCTTTCAAGATTATGTTATGACTCAATGTTCTATTTCTCCTCAGGGATGAGCACCCTATGTCATCTGATCAATTTGTACCTCTATGAAGATAAAATTTTTTATCTTCTAACTCCATTTTTCACATCAAATTTGTCTATGTAAGTATTGTTCATCCATTTTTCTGCTCATCAGATAGTTCTAGAATTTTGATCAAATTCCATAATATAGTCTAAAGATAAGATCAGCGACCAAAGGCACTCTGCCTTCATGAAGTTTACAGTCAGGACAGTGAAGTAGATGTGTAAGGACAGAAAGGAGATAATATTAAGTGCCTATACCATACAACTAGTGTGTGTGTGTGTGTATATATATATATATATATATATATATATATATATATATATATGGTATAAAAGTCACTTTATAATGACTATGAACTATCAATACGTAATGTCTAAGCTGGGACAATCAGAATTGTAAGTAGGACTAGGAAGCATCCTAGGGAGTGGGGATGGGGGACACAGACAGTACTCTGATGCACAGGCAGCCACAGATCTGACTTGATACAGTCAGAAATGGGCTTGAGATGGGGTAAAAACAGTGAATGAAGACAGA